AAGCGCCCTCAGAATATCATAAAGCAGATAACAGCGGTACAGATCAACAATATGAAGTATTTCAGCAACAACAACAACAAAAAACAAAGTCCGATAAAGTTCTGTACAAATAATTGAATCGATTTTAAACATGTAATTATAAAAGTACGACGGAATTATACACGATACTGATGAAGACAGAAAGCTTCGTTGCAATTGGAACATATTCGACATGCAAAAATTGGTTGATATCGTAAAAATATAAAATGATATCAGAGTTTAAAGGAAGACAATATCAATTGAGTATAAAAAAATCTGCATTGTTATGACAATGTAGAGCGAGGTTGAAACAACACAATTCATTACATATAATAGAGTCCATTTGTCAATATTCAAAACATATTCAAATCACACATAACAAAGTTTATATTTCAAACAGACAACGTAACACTGAACAATAAGAGGATACAGCTAAACACATGGAATACAGGACATTACCAGTCGAGCGAAAATGAGAATACAATAATTGAATGTAACGCAAATAAACACAAAATGAATGAGTCACACCCTCCTATGCCTAAAAGGGAAATGCGCCATTTATTTCTGCCACCCTTCTAACAAACTTTCATGAATTTCTTCGAAAGATAACAATGTGAACTCAGACTTATATTCCCTCCATATCATTCAAATATCATAAAGCATAAAACCATGAAATATGCATAAAACGAATCATGAAAAATGAGCCATTTTAGGCATCATCTTATCTCAATAACAAAATTTTCACATCTCTGCCTCAATTGAAGGGCAGTGAGAAATATGTAAACGCATAGATTCAAACTTAATTATCAGCTGACGATTCAAGAACATTGCAAATGAATGAAAAGATACACATTAAACGAATACTGGACACGCCATTCATTGCAATGACGCAATGCTACAATTATCTTACTATTAGCGTCATCAACATGAACATTAGGAGTTAAAAATACAGGTGATCAAGAATTGTTCGGATGATTCAGAGCCAGCAAATCAATTCGCATTCTTCAGAGGTATGGCTGGATGAATGAGAATCGAGAAATTTGATAGAAATGACCAAATAACGATAGTTTTTTACACTTCAAATGCACTAACGTTCGGTATTTATTGCAGATTTGACAACAGGTATTCTCCTTATTGATATTCAGATACGAGTTGACTATCAATTTATAAAACTTCCTCATCAGCGTCATCATTATTACGATACTTCGAAGTTGGTAGAGTGAAATTCGTTGCTGGCCATGCCGTTGCCATATCATCATTGATCGGTGTTTCAGTTTTCGGTTCGTTCGCAGCACTCTCATCCGCATTTTCTAAGCATTCGTCAACACTCTGAAAGCGTGATTCAGTACAAGTGACTAGCAAATTTCAGTGAATGCATCACTATTTAAAACAAGATAAATTTGATGAAATGAGCTCAGATCATTAGTAATGGAGAGATACACTGTGGCAACTCTATCAATAATAAGACGTGATCGTTTATGTCATGAATTATTCGAATAGAACAAAGAGATATATGCACAAAAATCATACAAGATGACGTCGATCGGGTCCAAGAAATCTGGCATGAACTCTANGAATGGATGTGTAATCAGATTGTGAACTCAATACACGATATACCTTCTCAGCATTGATTCGCTTCTTTTCATAGTGCTCAGTCCACGCTGCTTTCAATCGCATTGCATCTTTGGCCAGTACCACACAGCCGTCAAGTCTGAAATCGTCACAGTTAATTGTTGCACTCAGTTTCGTTTCCAAATTATTACTCACAAACGATTAAACAGTCCCATTGTAACCAAAAGAAAACAAGCATATACAATTCTTCACTTATTCCCATTGAATTGATGTTATAAATAATTAAGTGAATAAATGAAAGAATACACAAATGAATATGATAAAAAGAGTTGATTACATCGGATGACTTCCGCCCTTATGAAATTCCCAACCAACCACCGCAGGTGCACATTCAATGTCCATTTGTCGTGCTAAGCCGTAAAGTCCATCGAGATGGAGGTGCACACATCCTTTTGGCAACATACACTCTTTATACATATAAATATTACCAAATTCGTTGCGCGGTATACGACCCTGATAAAGAAGAAAGTTTCAGTTGATGAGATGATCATAAAAGTAATCAGTGGAACATGAATAATGTTACAATATTCCCCACATTGCTCGAAATTGATTCACATTTTACCTGGAAACTGCTATAAGATTCTAGGCAATTATGAACGAATGGAAATAAATTCGACGAAAATGAAGAAATAAAAGTCTAACATCAACAATTTCTGGTGGAACGTATGGCTCTGTTTGCCAATATCCAAAAACGTCCAACGTTTTCGGTTCGCGTTGTTCCTCGGGAAGACGAATATTCGGTCGTGCTTTCACAACCTTATACGGTTTTTCGCCGGGCTGTAACGAGCACAAATAAATTTAAAGAGCACAATGGACATTCGTTAGGATATCGATAACAACCAAGTGCATTAATAAATAAGATATGCGATAAGTAACCTTTACTGAACGTGCTTGTTTCATCCAATTCAATGCTCCCTGCAAATGATAGACACTACTTCGTGGATACACCTCAATGCCACCACGAAATGTTGCAACTGGTTTTTGATCCTCCGGATAAATTGCTTCGAATTTTAGAAGGTCTCTCTTCAACACATACCTCAAATGACAATATGGATGTCTTTAAAATTTGCATCCGTCATCAACAATTGATATTTTTTTGAGCGAGGATAATTTTATTATCGTTTGGATAAGGTGTCGCAAGTTCTATAGTAGTCACACTCAAAAATGACTGGAATCATACTTCAAGGTATTCCTCTAAGATCTGCACGGTTTATTTGTAAACTGAACACCGAAGACACATAATTTCCTGCAGAGGGTACGATAAGGAGAAAGGCGTAAAAACTAAGCGGTGAGAAAGAAAAACTGAAAAGTTAG